TACCTACTATGTTAGATGTCATTAAACCGTGATCGTACGTAAAAAGAACGCCCAAATCAGACTTCGTATAAGGAAGTTATGAATTTTCCAAGTTCGGCTTAGCGACAGACAGCTAAAAACTCGAAATGGAGATTGAGCGACTTTTGGACGGAATGACCTAAATAAGAACCGAAGGTCTCGACAATGGTTTTTCAACAATAAAAAGTCTGGCAAAAACAGACGTTGGATAATGAAGTTATGAATTTCTAACGAAATTTTCTTACCGCGACCTTTTAAAAATAAATAATAAAAATAGTTTCAAAATTTGCCGACGGAATCTAAACAAAAGTTGTAGAGCGTAGTCTCACCTACGCGTATATATAAAGAACTTCGAAAATGGAGTTCGTATGAAGAAGATATGAATTTTTGAAGTTTATTAAATAATAAAAATATAAATTTTATATTAAATTTCGGTATTATCCGAAGGAGGAGTCACCAGGCCGATCCGAGTTATGCCCAGCGTACTCGAGGTCTAGGCCTCGGATCGTCCACGTCGCCCCTATGAGAGCTTATGCCCCGTCCCATCCAAAGATCCGAGGCAATCGAAGAAGCGGTCACGCATGACGCACGCGTACGCCCAGCGTACCGAGGCGGTTTCCAGCCCCTATAAAAGGGATGCGAGGGTTCAGAAGAAAAGGCCCAATTCCTCTCATCTTTCTTGCGTTTTTTCCTCGTTTTCCGTGCATGTGATATTTGGAAGCCCCAGTTTCCTTTCTCAAGTCCCGAAGGTCGTTTGTGCTCCCGAGATTCCCGAGAATCCCGAGAAAATCCGCTTTCTCGAGTCGAAGTTCTGCTCAGTTTTCATCTCGCTTTCTTCGATCTTTCAAGTGAGTTCATACCCCTATAATCCACACTTTTAAATGTTTTATAAATGCTTTTATATGCTTTTAAGGGGGGAAATACAAGTAAAACACACGATTATTACCGTGTGTTATATAAAGTTTTATTATACACTTTTTATCAATGAAATCATATGTGATTTATAACTATTATAGGGGAACTTTCGGATGCAAAATATACCACGATAACATCTTATCTTTTGAATTAAGAAATTATTTATGTATATATGTAAATCAAACACTCTGCTTATACTGTATGTATATGTGTCCATCTTTGGCACTACAAAAATTATACTTTTCATAACAAGTGAGTATTTCACTAGGAATTACTATACAAACGAGACACACTTTTAGAAAACTATAATAGATATAGTTTTATGAGAACATCACGAACTTTTACATACTAGAAATACTATTTCAAGAAGTTACTTTCATATACAAGTCATCTGCCCCCGAACGTTTCCGCTGTTCCGGTTTGGAGGTGTGACATTTCTCAAAGGCCTGCTTCAATAACGCATAAAGAGTTCACCAGTAAAGGAACTTAGGTCAGGTGTAAATAGACCCTAAATCAGTACCATGTGATGGCCAACATAAACCATACATGAAGTAACCAAACAAAAAGAATAGGCACGGTAATATCAAAATATTCATGCCCGCAGATATAAAGAAAACATTTTCATAGTTGTCGAACTCCCGGACTTTTGAATGGACACAAAGGGTAAAAATGACCATAAACAAACAAAGGAAAAGAAAATATTGTTCAAGGGGATCACACATGAACAAACTGCAAAACAGGGTTACTTATCACCAAGAGCAAAGCTTAGACCGGAGCCTGACCCATCACTTTGAGCTTCTTGACAGAGACTATGGAGCCCAGTCATGTTCAGACTGCCCAGACAAAGGTGGTTGACAAAGTCTATTTCAGTGAAAGCCAGCAGGGCATCTTCCATCTCTTGAGTCCTGGTAGCCACATTCTCCTTGGACTTTGGGTCAGACTCCCCGATAGTTACCTACTCCCAGACGATCTTTTTTCCCTGTTCTACACCCACAACAACACGAGCCTTTTAACGGCCAAAATTTCAACAAAATTTAAACTTTTCAAAAACATGTCAATTCATTAAGTTATTACAAAAAGGTTTTCAATACATTTATTATCAGAGCATTCCCAGGTCCATATCATAAAACATAAACGCGAGGAGCGGTACGATCACGCCTTCGCCTTGACACGGTCTCCTGAAGAACCTGAAAAAAAACATTAAACCACAACTGTAAGCCCGAAAGCTTAGTGAGATACCCCCAAAATACCAACCACATATACCATACACATAATATGCTATATCATAACGAATCGCAGAACAGCCATGCATATCGGGTCTACTGTGGGACTGGTCAGCCGTGTCGGGCCTTCAGTCCACCTGGTCCACCCTTCGAGTCCAGTCATGTCCCTCGAGTCTGCAGTGTGGTTGGTCCGCCCGCGTCGGGCCTTCAACCCACCTGGTCCACTCTCTGCGTCTACAGTATGACTGGTCCGCCCACATTGGGCCTTCAGTCGGCCTGGTCCACTCTCCGAGCCTCGGCACGTCTGGTCCGCCCTCGTGGGGCCTACAGCTTATCCGGATCGCTCGTTGGGCCTTCGGAACAACCGGTCCGCCCTGGGTATCTTGGCCTGCAACACAAAGCAGGACCCGCCTCAACCTAACTCCAGTCCAAACAACCATATGCACATAACATACAATCATATAACAGTTCATAGTCCACAAACCGATCGAACAGATCACATAACATATCATTACCCTAACCGGGATACCGACCTAACCGGTCACTAGCATAGCATCACTCCACATATCGGGAAATCGACCTTAACCAGGTCTCTAGCATATACCATCCTAGCTACCAGGATGCAGACATATCAAAACAATAACATAACAACCATATCCGAATCTCAATCCAATAAAGGGCCAGCCTTGGTGCCTTAGACCCTGTCGATATATTGAGGATAACTCACCTCGCAACTGCTGACTGAAAAGATAAGATCACACTGCTGCAACCTCCGACCCGAACTCCAACACTATCAATACCCAAAAGACTGAATCCAATAAATACCAATAATTACCAAACTACCCCTGGAAGTCAACTGGTCAACCCTTGGTCAAAGTCAAAGTCAAAGTCTACCCCTGACTGGCTCTACTCGCCAAGTCAACCCGCTGACTCGCCGAGTCCCCATACACAAAACCTCCTTTAATTCGCGACTTAACTCGCCGAGTCATCCCTTGACTCACCGAGTCACAGCCTTCCCAGAAGAAACTTGGACCCTACGACCAGACTCGCCGAGTCCAAGAACAGACTCGCCGAGTCTACGACTATCTTCAACCTACTCGCCGAGTTGTTCTTCCAACTCACCGAGTTCCAAGCCATCTTCATCCAACTCGCCGAGTCCACCCATGTGACTCGTCGAGTACCACCGGGTCTGAATCCATACAGAGGCTTTCCAAGCCATCCAGATGATCCAAACCATAGATCTACCCCTCCTAAGGCCATCCATCACGTAAAGTGGCAAACTTTACGTGAATCCAAAGAGATCTAGGCATTTTACCCTCTCGGGCTAGGTTTGGGATATGATGGCTTCACCAATCACTCAAGTGATGGCTTCACCAATCACTCAAGAACAGGGACTTTAATGCACTTAAGACCTTTTCCACTCCAGATCTGAGGTAGCAACCTTAGATCTATTCTTCAAACTCAAGATACCACAAGCTAAGCTTCCCATACATTCCAAGAATCATGAATCTAGAAGAATAACAGCCCAAGAACGAGATTATTCCTCAAAAGGAAGTCCCAAGAGCAATGAAATCTGAATCCAAGCAAAGCCCCTTGCTCCAAGTCTCCTAACTCCCCAAGATCTTCCTTCAAATCTCTTTTCCAAGGTTCAAATGCACTCCAATCCTTCACAGTTGCGTTTTCTAGGGTTTTCTGGTCTCAAGGGAAGGTAAGGACACTAGGAAGAGGGCATAATGTCCTTTATATACGGCTCATCCTCCGAAATTAGGGTTTTCCCCACTCAGTACCAACTCGCCGAGTCCAGCCACCGACTCGCCGAGTTGGCCACTTAACACGCGACCAAAATCGTGACCATACTCGCCGAGTCCACCCATGGACTCGCCGAGTTGCCCTTCAAATTTACACTTTTAGCCCTTCAACTCTACTCTTGATATTTTGGGATGTTACAAGCCTTTTGAACATGTACCAAGCATTGGATAAATTTAGGGCTCTCGATCACCTGATCCACCACCCTACTAAGCCCCTCGCTAAGGTCCAAGAAACTTCCTTCTCCAGCGCCCCTTTTGCAGTGCCCTTAGTAACCAGATCAACCTCCAATTCTGTAGTCCGCTGAGTCAGCCCTGCATTCTATATACTTAATACCCCTACATGATCATCTAGACACCTCGCCTCTTCCTCCACATGTGCTACTTGATCAGCCAAGCCCGCCTTCTCGCGCAACACCACCTCCCGCACGGCCTCCCAACTACGCTTGTCAGGTTCTACCTTCACCAACTGAGCCTTCAAATCTTTATATTCAATACTCTTCCGGTCAGAATCAGACTGGAGAGTCTCCATGCTAGAGATACGCTCAACAGTTGCGACCAAATAAGATGACACCTGAGCGGCAACATAGCGCAAGTCGTCGGCCATGTGTTCATCTGATAGAATCAATAGGGCCTTAGTGGTAGTAGGAGGAAATGCGTGCCGACACCACTCAAGAGCAGCGTCATGATCAGAGTCAAGGTCTTGGGCGGTTAGCTTCCAAGTCGGCTTGTAGGCATCCAGACGACAACTTGCAAAAAGGGAGACAATTATGGTCTTATCAAAAGAAGCTGACACAAGACCATGAAAAGGAGAAGAACCAGCCTTCTCCTCGACTCCTCTAATGGTGGCGATGGGGCTGTACTTGTTGTTGTTTCCCTCTACTATACGATCGGGCGGTTCAGTTGACCAATTGGTAGGATCCTTCTGGGAAGCACCAGTCACAACGATGTCTTGGAAATCCGACTCATCATCACCACCACCAGCACCACCAGTGGCATTTCCTAAACCGGCGGGAGACTCATGTGAAACCTTGATTCCTTAGCCGGAAACAGGATGTGGAAAAGATTCTACAAGGTCAAATTCGTGGCATTGAATTTCTCCCTCAAACAGGCCATGAAGAGCGCTCTCCAAGGATATAGTTTCCTCCCCATCTGGAAACAAAGCGAAAACAACGACGGTTAGCCAAAACCCTGAATTCAACGCGTTTTTCCTGAAAAAGTGGGGGGGGGGGGTAAGATAAGGGAAAAAGAGTGTCATACCTTCCTTTGCGACAAAGAACTTGGGCATCTTCCCACGAGCCCACGAAGCGACCTGCATTCTACCGGTAGCCAAAAAGCCAATCCTCACTGTTGATGCTGATTTTCTCCAAGTCGTCAGCGATCTCCCTGTCAGCGCCAAAAAGCGTGGGAGCACTATCCACATACACCTTAACCCTTGGGTAGCCAAGCACCACAAGATCATTATTCACCCATAAGAACTTTTCTTGCCAGCTCTTCTTGAACTTTTGGTCGTGAATAAGGGTAAGGACTCCCCACTGGCGAGAAAGGGTTTGGGTCCCAGACTGGGTGGAAGCGTTGAAGAAGTGCTTGAATGTTGGAAAAATTGGTTGACGACGTGGAGCGCGATAGAGGAGCTCTAAACCTACTATATTGTTTATAGCAATGGGAGTCAACTCCCTCACTGAAAACCCGTATTCACTGATGATTAGATTAAAGAAGTTGGTGGTAGGCAAATGAAGACCTGCCTCGAACAAGGCGATCGGAATCTCGACTTTGACCTCAAGTGGGCTATAAAGTGACATGTCAGAAATAGGAATTTGTACGTTGTGTTCAGGAACAAACCCGAATCGAAATTGAAAAGAATCCCACTCTTTAGCAATGAGATTTCTCCCTAGAGAATGAGAGGAAGCCACGAAAGAGTTCGAAAGAAAAGACGAAAAGGTTTCTTTTGAGTAAGAACTTAAAGAAAGAAAGGTAGCATGTGAAGAGGATGTGTCAGGATAGACAAAGGTTTAAATACAAAAAAGGGGAAGCAAATTATTTCCATGATAAGACTGTCGAAGAGCGGCAATTTCACCCTGATAACTGCATAAGTTGTCAATAGCAGTTCGCCACGTGCCTGGGAATAGACCAGAACGACACCGCTACGTCACAAACGTAGACGCCTACTAGTCTAAGGCACTTGTTAACGTTACCATGTACGTTCACGTTAAACTTAACGGAAGGCCTAGAAGGAGCATTAACATGCTAGTGCCTTGGCCCACGCGATCCAACGCCAAGTTGATAGCTCACTTCCCGTCACAAGGAAAGAACATTCCACGTGATCTCCCCATTCACCCACAACCAATCAGAAGGCGACGAATAGCTCAGGTGTCGCCCAGAACTAACATCACATGGCAGTTTGTTAGCATGGGCTAATGTCTAGTATGAGGATGCAACATCTCATGCTAATCGGACGAGGTCCCCACGATCCGTTAGAGGCAGATATAACAAGATATATTTCGCTTCAAGGAAGGGATCCCATCTTCTCTCTAAATAAGATTACCCTAAAATTACCTATCTTAGAAATCTAACTTGATCGTTGGAGCGACATCCCGGGAGAACACTCGAACGTCCTCTAACGATTATTCTATGTGTTGTGTTCTCAGGAAAACTCTCAACGCAGATTCATCATCCAACATCCTAATCCCATGAGACATGTCACAATAGTAAGGGTAAATTACACGGATGGTCCCTGTGGTTTAGGGTAATCTATGTGTTTGGTCCTTGACAACTTTTTTTTAACTCAGACCATCCCTAATTTATATTTTGGTTGCACGCATGGTCCTTATCCGGTTTAAAAAGACTAATTTACCCTTACTGGTTTCTTTTATCCTTTTTTAAATTATCAGCTATTTAAAAAAATATATTAACTAAATATGAAAAAATTATAATTAAAACTGCATTGCTTATTAGATATGTAGGTCCACTTCCTCATCATCTACCATCAAACCCCACCCTCCACCTCCCTCGATTTCCTGTCCTTCTCAGACGAACAAGTAGCACCACCACTTTGATATTCTCCGACGAACCACCACCACTATTCACCACCAATCAGATCCAATCTTATATAAAAAGGAACATAGGTCAAAATTCAATGTTTCTTTGGCAAACATAAACTGTAAAGCGCAGAACGGTATAATGGATCTAGGGTTTTCACACCTCACTTTCTCCTTCTTATATGTTGAAAATGTAGAAAGCACAACCATGGGAGTCGGTGATGGGAACTAGGGTTTCTGCACATCCATTTTTTGTTCCTGTTCATGGGAAGAAAACTATGGCGAAGATGGGTTCTAGGGTTTCTGCAGATCAATTGGGTGTTTATTTGGAAATTGAAGGATATGAAAGCAGGGATGGTGCATGTCGACGACGACAATTGACCACTCTTTCTCTCCCCTTCATCTCTTATCTCACCGATGGTCAATGACATCAAATTGTTGTCATCGGCAACCACATTTTTTCCCTTTATTATGTTTGAACCCACTTAATTCCCCCTTCTCTCACATGGATAAAAAATCGATTTGGTTTGTCACTGATCTTGTCGGTCTCTAGACTGTATTTTGGGTTTCAAACATCGATTTCTCGTCATCGATCTTCTTTATTTTCGTAAACTTTGATCTTAGTATTTGAGACCATAGTTAATTTTTAGGACTCATCATCAATTAGATTTCAAACATTTTGTGTTTTGTGGTTCAGATGCAAAAACTAGAACACCTGAATCTCGTTTTGTTCCAGGATTCATCATCATTTTCAGGTTTTTATTTTGGTTTTCTGTTTGAGTTACAGGTTTGATTTTAGATGCATATTCAGATTTATTGTTGTAATGCTAGATAGTTTTATGTTGAGTTTTGGGTAATTTATGTGGTAATGGATCTATGGCCGGAGATGATAACTGAAGTTGGTGCCGATGACTGGAGGTGGTGGCAAGCCTGTAGAGGAGTAAGCTGGGATCGGTCATTTTTCCAGCAATATATTAATAATTTAATTTATATAATAATAAATGGAAAATATAAAAGGAATTAATAAAATAAAAAATTCATTAAGGGCAAAATAGTATTTTTAGGTTAGATAGGGACCAAGTGTGCAACAAAAATATAAAGTAGGGACATTCCGAGTTAAAAAATTTTGTTAGGGACCAAAAACGCATTTACCCTAACCACAAGGACCATCCGTGTAATTTACCCCAATAGTAATATGTAAACATGTATGAATACAACAAGAATAACAACACGAACGACCGTGGGAGGCCCCCACAACAAGAGTTAGATGAGACACGATTAATTAACACGCTAAAATATTCAGATAACTCCTGGCCTATAATCGTTAAATCTTAGGTGAGCAGGAAAGATATTTATAGATATATATATGATTGACACTCCCACCTATAGCTGCTAGCTACAACCTGACGACAAGTTGAAACGGGTATAACTTTCTAAGCACATTTGCGACGTTCGATGAAGCGTCATAGTTATCGAGATCAACAACCATAGCTTGATTATAGAAACTCATCATAACTTTGTTAAACTAAAACTAACTTTCTTAGACTACTAATAGGAACCAACCTAAGAAAGTAGTGATAGTACAGACAAACTCAAGGAAGTGATTTTAGGATAAATAAGATAATTAAAATACCTACACAACGTTCTACAACCATAAAGCCTGTGAACTCACCAACATTATGTTGACATTTCTAAAACTACATGTATTCTCAAGAGAATGAGTCCGACTGAAGGAGGAGGTAACATCGGTGATGCAGCCCGAAGTCTATGTGCTTTATTTTTATACTTTGCTTTTGTGACCTACTTGTACCTCGAATAGATATCTTAGCTTTTCCAAAAAATTAAGATCGGCCTTTTCCCCTCCTTTAGATACATAAGATAACATAGAATTTTTTATGACAACTTCAATGTCATCTTGAAGCAACGATGAATTGAAAGACCGAAATGGCGGAGGACCAAAATCCAAAATCAAACTTCTAAGAATGATCGGTAAATGGTCAAAGTATTTATGAGGGAGAGAAAAAACATAAGCAGAAGGGAGGCCCCTTGGGAAGTTTGGACATACAAGGATTCTATCTAATTTACTCATTTATTTTACCATCTTGGCGCAAATAGGTATATCACCTACCTCTCATGTTATATTCTGCAAGACTATTTTCTCTAATAAACCTGTTAAAAGTAGTAGATGGGGCATTACTAGAAAACGAAATTAAGTCGCTCCACAGGTCTCCTTACCAAATTGAAATCTCCCAAAAAGTTCCATGTGTCATGCCCTAGATGATTTAAAATTGGCAAGACCTTCCTGTAATCTCTTTTTTTTCCCATTAAACGTTTGTGGAGCGTAAACGTTTAAAAAAATAGTTTCCCTTGTAATTCCTCTCTAGTTGCCAACAATAGCTAGAAAGAATCGATTTTATATGGAGAGAATTTTGGTGAAATAACTTTTCTCCCGTATACAAAGTAATCCACCTGATTGACCCAAAGCTTTAACCACATCATAATCAAAATCTTGATGGTTCCAACTTCCCACAACATCAATTTCCAATGCATTAAAGATTTGCGTTTCTTGAATTCAACAAAATATTAGGTTAAAATCTTTCTTCAACCTATTCACCCATTCTACTTTATGGGATTCACCATTCCCTCTTATGTTTAGAGATAGAATATTCATCTAGCTAATCTTACATCACCCTCACCATGTAGTACTCGTTGCATCATCTCTTTATAAGACTCAAGTTGAAAACCTACTTGGATCCTAGTTACCAAAGAGTTTTTGGCTTACCGGTAAAGAGTGACTTTCAAAATTAAGATGTCAGGAGTTCAAGTGTCTTTGGAAACATAGAAGGTAATTTAAAAGTATATTAGTTTAAAAAAATGATTAGTTACATAACCCAAAAAAATTGATATTTCCATCTTACAACTTGTTTTTGTTTTCACTTTAGCATTTTTTCTATTTTAATGAATTTTCTAAAAACATGAACCCAAACTAGGAACTATTATATCCATCTTAGTTTTGCTTTTTGTCGTTTTAATTTTGCTTCGTATGAAAGAGACGATACATGAGTCTATAAAAACTTGAACCATTGTGGTCGTTATATAAATATACAAAAAAAAAATGATAAATAAAAAACCGGTTATGTTCAGGTAGTTGAATTTATTTTTGCCACAAAGATGGTGATGAAGAAAGACATCATCAAGTGTCCAACTTGTATATACCATTTTCATGGTGTCTTCCTTTATTACCATGGTTATGCATTTAATGGTTTTGGTTCAATTAAACCTAACTACTTTTCTGTTTTAAAAACCCAAAAAAAAAAAAAAAAAAAAAAAAAAAATTGAGTGGGATTATTCAGCCAAAGACAAACAGGAGTTATTATTCAATGGAATGTATTAATGACGACTTTTATTTTATCTTTTAAACTAAATTATTATGATTTCATTTTTATTGTTGTAAATTATTATATTTTTACCGATCTTCCTTTTATCAGCAACAAGTTTATATGAGATTAATAATCTGATTTTAACAAAAAAAAAAAATCTTTATTAAAAGATGTTCTAAAAGTTTGACTCATGTAATTCTTATTAAATTATACTCTACACAAAACTTGTTTTATAGTTATAACTAGAAAATGGTACGCGGCATTTGCCCGTTTTTGGACTAAATTGTAAATCCTTCAAAGTATTGTGGCTAACAATGAAATTCAAAAACTTTGGTGGCCAAATTCTTAAATCTGAAAGTTTACTGTTCATAATTTCTTTGGGAT